ACCAGTCCCAGTTGGGAACTGGGAGCACTGGTCAGGATGGGCCTCGTTAACGAGGGTTAATTAACGAGGTTTAATTAATGAGGTCACCTCTACCTCAGCTTCAGCGCCGGTGGGTGCTGAATTTCTTAATTATTTAATAATTATTTATTGCTATTTATTTATTTATTTATTTGCTATTTATTAGCGTTTCTCTTGTAATATTTATTGGTTAATTATTATTTGTCGGTTAATTATTTATTAATTACCTCTGGGCCATCCGTTGCGATTCAGCTGAACGCGTATTTAATATTTGAATTAATTAAATTCATCAGTTCAATTAATTAATCGGTGTGGTGTCTTAATTTTCGGGGGGGGGGGAGGGGGGAAATGATGGAAAAATTCCAATTTTTGGGGAATTTTATCCCTAATTTTTATTTTTTTAAATTTTTTTTTAAATAAAGAAAATCCCCAATTTTTAATTTTTTTTTTTTTGGCATTTTCAGCCCGAGTCGGATTTTTATTGAACCGACACAGAAAATACAAAAAGTCACAAAAAGTAACAAATTAAAAAAAAAAAAATAAAAATCCCATTATTTCCTAAAAAAAAATTAATAAAAAAAAAAGTTTTAAAAAAAAACCCTCGAGTCCGCTCCCATTTTTTGGGAAAAAAAACTTGGAAAATCCAAAATAAAATCCAATTTTTCCTCCCAAACTCACATTTCCTGGCATTCACGACCCAAATTTGGGATTTTTTTTTTTTTTTCCCAAATTCTGATTTTTTTTTTCCCCCCCCAAATTTTAATTTTTTCCCCAAGTTTTCAGGATTTTTTTTTCCCCCAAATTTTTTTAAATTTTTTTTTCTCCCAAATTCCAAAGCTTTTCTCAAATATTTAAAGGGTTTTTTTTTTTCCCAAAACTTGAGGTTTTTTTTCCTGGAATTTTCAGGGCTTTTTCCCCAAATTTCTGATTTTTTTTCCCAAAAATTTTTTGGGAGTAATTTCCCAAAATTTTGGGGTTTTTTTCCCAAATTTTTTTTGTTTCTTTCCCCCCCCCAAATTTCTGGTGGTTCTTTCCCAATTTTGGGAGTTTTTTCCCAAATTTTTCGGGTTGACCAATCCCAGTTGGGCACTGGGAGCACTGGGAATGCTGGCAACTCTCTGGGAACCATGGAATGCTGGGAATTCTTCATCTCCCCACTTAATTAATTAATAAATCCATCCCTAATTAATTAGAGAACCTTAATTAGTAACCAGAATTCAATGGGAGTCAATAGAGGCCAAACCCAAGGTTGAGTTTTAGCCTTGGCCAATCCCAGTTGGGCACTGGGAGCACTGGGAATGCTGGGAACTCTCTGGGAACCATGGAATGATGGGAATTCTTCATCTCCCCACTTAATTAATGAATGAATNATGGGACCAATCCAAGGTTGGGTTTTGGGATTGGCCAATCCCAGTTGGGCACTGGGAGCACTGGGAACCATGGAATGATGGGAATTCTTCATCTCCCCACCTAATTAATGAATGAATCCATCCCTAATTAATTAGTGATCATTAATTAGCTGTGTAAATTGAATGGGACCAAGCCAAGGTTGGGTTTTGGGGTTGGCCAATCCCAGTTGGGCACTGGGAGCACTGGGAACCATGGAATGATGGGAATTCTTCACCTCCACTTAATTAATTAATGAAATCATCCCTAATTAATTAGAGATTGTTAATTAGACAGGAAAATTGAATGGGACCAATCCAAGGTTGGGTTTTGGCGTCGACCAATCCCAGTTGGGCACTGGGAGCACTGGGAATGCTGGGAGCACTGGGAACCATGGAATGATGGGAAACAATCTCCCCACTTAATTAATTAATGAATACATCCTTATTAATTAGAGACCCTTAATTAGTAACCAGAATTCAACGGGAGTCAATGGAGACCAAACCCAAGGTTGGGTTTTGGGGTCAACCAATCCCAGTTGGGCACTGGGAGCACTGGGAATGCCGGGAACTCTCTGGGAACCATGGAATGATGGGAATCCCTCATCTCCCCACTTAATTAATGAATGAATCCATCCCTAATTAATTAGAGAACCTTAATTAGTAACCAGAATTGAATGGGAACCAATAGAGGCCAAACCCAAGGTTGGGTTTTGGCGTTGGCCAATCCCAGTTGGGCACTGGGAGCACTGGGAGCACTGGGAATGCCGGGAACCACAGAACGCTGGCAATCCCCCATCCCCCAACCTCATTAACGACCAAACCCAACCCTCATTAATTAACAACCCCC